AATTCATGAATTTTAATATAAATACCCAATTTTAGCAAACTTTACCACCTACTTAATTTAACAGTAAGCAGCCTTAGCTTTAAACAAATATAAAAGTTCGGAACAGTAAATAATTTACCTACTTCAAAAGAGGGAATGCCTTACTGGGGGTCCACTTTACAAAAACAATGTAGGCTATCTTTCATGACACTTGTCCATACTTTGAGAATTACTGCTTTATACTGCTCCTGAATTCACCTCTATAGGTATCAACACACATCAGTAATTTATAACTATTTTTAGGTCATGGATCCTCCCTCCAGAAAAGTATACACACACACACAATTTTACATAAGATTTCAGAGCCTGCAAGTATTCAGAAGTCTATACATGACTTAACACGTTCTACTCAAGACTATTTTATACAATTATCTGGACCATATCCTTTCTAAATTTCAGGGGTTTACCAGATTATATTAGGACAGAAGAATACAATTCAGGCAGTGTCTACTTCCATTCTGTTAAATAAATAAGGCACTCTCATTATGCCTTCAGTCTATCAGAGCTTATATTTGACTTTCAACACAAATATAGCTGCATATAGTTTTAAAAATACACCTTTTCCTTCAATGTGATAAAAGAGACAAGTTTCTAGAGAAATTGTCTTTTCACTGTTTCTTTAGCTTATCCTCTACTGCCACCAGTCTGTGATTTAGGGAAGGTTTTGCTTAAACCTTCCCTGCGATTAATAGTACATCCATTATATTTATCCTGAGGTATAAGCCTTAAGTATCAGAGATCTTCAAGGTCAAACTACATATAGTTATGGCATAGTTTAACTGATTTAGTTTGATTCACACTAGAGTTTTTAATTCAGGTTAGAGTCTTAAATTTCACCTCTTCTAGATTGAGAAATGGCAGAGTGGAAGAATGAACTTGGGCTTAAAACTGACAGAGACTTTTGGTCAGAATCTGGTCTATCACTTACTCGTAGAGGATACTGGTAAATTACCTAAACTCTCTGAGATTTAGTATTCTTGCCAGCAGTAAGATAACAATGATGTCTACCACACAGAACTACTAAAGAGATCAGATGAACACAGAAGACATCAAATTTTTATTCAACCTTCTTTCTACCTAAATCTAAAGCTGAACATCTCAATTCCTTCAATGATGTCTTCTCTGAGTCACAACATCAAGTCATAAACTTGACTTGCGTGATCTGCACATTCCATAATCTGTCCCCCAAAGTAAGTAGACCTACACACTGTCCTGGGCATATAGCAGCCATTTAGCTATTACTACCCTGTCTAAGTCTTCAATTGGTGCACAAATAGTACCTCAATGTAAATCAAGATTATTTCAAAGCCCCGAACTTAAAAACAGAATATCCAGTCCTTAAGAATCACTACTGCATGACTCCCTTACTTCCCCTTCTCTACATCTGTATTCATCATTTCAAAGTAACTAATAGAAAAACAGCGTATCCACAGTCAAAACCCAATCTGATTGATACACTCTCAAACCCATAATAATGGAGGGATGTGTGTGAAGAACAAATGATACACACCCTCTAATTAATTATTCATTTAAGTGATACAGGAATAAGGCATATTACAGAAAATTTCACTTACTAACATTAATGTGTATCAAGGGACCATGTTGGGGTTCAGTGATGATTAGTAGTTATGATATTCTTAATATTTATAATCTGGCTTAATTACAAATGAGAAAAGTACATTTCAGTTTAATGTTAATCTATAAATTTTCAAGTTTTGCTTTCTTGAAATTCTTCTAGAACTGCTACTCACTACACAGCAATGCCAAGAAAAGAGGAAAAGGGGCCATTCTTTTTGTCCCTAGGAAGTTTAATTCTCAACTCGAATAAGAAAAATGTTCTCTCTCTTGGGCAGGACCATAGAAAGAGTTGTACTGCTCTTCATTCTAACTTGGCAGGACTTCCTTGAGGGGAGAAGAAAACTTGTCTACAAATACATCCCTACCTGTACCCTGTACGGTGGTAAGGTACAAGTGGAGACCAAAGCAGACGTTCAGTAATATTGACAGTCAAACTAATTCTCTGGCAGGAGTCGGCATGCAAAGAAAATAAGCTATAGGAGCTTGCCAAACAAAACAAAACACCGATAACTCTATGTAACCTGGGCCATCAACTGTCCTTAATAAATCCTGGGGGGTTGGGGGGTGAACACTGCATTAAATAAACAAACAAAAAAAACCCCCTTCTCCCTCTCTCAAAAATCCTTCACATATCAGGTACTTATGTTAAGCAAAGGTAACCATGTCAAAATTTATTTTGGTCCCAGCTGAAGTTCAGTTGCACTGATTTTGAGCAAAGTTACTAAATGGGTATACTGTTTCAATTCCCCCCTTTTCTTTTTTCCCCTACAACTTGTGTGGTTACTATGATACTCCTCTCCTGTAACTGAAACAATTATAAATGTGCTCTGACTATACTTTATATGAAGGCAAAGTCAATGAAATATTAGTAAATCTATATTAATAAGTGATCACAAAAACATAAGTTAAAGACAGCTAACTACTGTTAAAATGCTGAAAAGACATGTTGGTAAATTCCAATTTTCACTTCTAATATAAAGAAAAAGTCCAATAAATTAAAAATAATAAGGTGTTTTCATATTGTGATTATACCACTTTCTGACACTGTTGCTTAATTTTTAGTTCCTAGGGATTCTTAGACAGGAAGAGGTGATGGTAGGAGATCTGATTTAAAAATGCAGGGAAAAGACCAAAAAAAAAAACTTTCCTGAGCAACACAGAAGACTTAAGTATTTTGAAACAAATAGACTTGGTCAACTAACAGGGGAAGCTACCCTATATACTGCACAGAAAACACTTCAATACACCAATAAAACATGGCAAAGAGATATGAATTCACGATGCATAAGAAGTTCATTATATTAACCAAATATAAATTAAAACAAAAAAGATTTTATCAAAATTGGCAAATGTGCAGAAAAAATACTTAATTCAAGGAAATACTCATAATCATTGACTTAGCAGTTCTAAGAGCATCAAAACTATAACCAAAATGTTTACATGAAAAAATATTTATCACAGTATTATAAATAATAGCACCAAAATGAAAGTAAGATAATATACACCAGCAGGAGATTGGTTTAATAAATGTGCAATACTCACATATAATGGAATACTACACAGTCATAAAAATTATGTTTTCATAACATGGGAAAGTATTCATAATAATGGGTATTAAGTTTTAAAATGTAACAAATCAATGCAATTTTCTGTATATATACATTCACAGGAAGGAAAAGGACTACAAAGAAATATACACTGTAAGGAAGATACACCAAATCATTTTAGTGAAAACATCTGAGTATTGAGATCACATACAACATCTACTTTCTTCTTTATGCATTTGTATATTTTTCAGCTCTTCTTCAATAGAAACATTACTTTTATATTCAGGGAATAACAGATGTTGTCACAAAGAGATAATCTAAATTTTACATTTCTGCTCTGCATTCTCTAGGGACTATAAACCCAGAACATGACTTTAATTAGAATGACAACAATTTTAATGAGAATAAAGACATGCATTTAAAAGCATCTGAAATAAATTTTTACTACAAATTCTTACATAATGTACTACAGAGTTAGCAACCAATGAGGTAAATAACAGCATAGGTTCTTAATAAAATAAACATATGGGTGGGTACAAAAAGATCAATGGAAAGGGTCAAAGTTTATCAACCCCCAAAGATTTTAGACTTAACTTTTATCCTTAGCTTTGATAAAATAAATTTCATGTAGTTTATTATATAATAATTTTACATTTTGCTCTATGGCCACCTATATATTTATTTATATATATATATATATATATGTACATATGTGTGTACAAATAAAAGGAAGTTTTTAAATTTGAATTGCCTTTATAAATAATCTTTACTATCAAAGTGAATAAACTTAACAAGGACTTCCAAGAATTTAAATATAAGAATAAGTTTTGAAGAAACTGACTCTAACAACAATCCATGTGGTTATTATAACTATGCTTAAAAATGGCCCTTACATTATTCTAGTGTTAAACAGACATGGGACTGTAATGGGACTATGTAATACCCAGACCTTTAAAGCATCACTTAAACAAATTTAACTTTGGAATAAATTTTTTAAAAAAGAAAACTGACCTATTTGATTACAACTGTTTACTTTAGATGAATTCACTTTACAGAAGTTAGACTTACCAAATTAAAAAAAAAAAAAAAAAACACACACACACCAAGATCCTAACACAGACTTAAGATATATTCAGAATAAAGTGTAACCCCCAAATTATCATTTTTATTAATCATATCATTTTCTGACAGGCCAAAACCAAATACAATCCAAGATGTGACGATCACCATATCAGAATGAGATTCGATACATAAAATTATAAATTTGTTTAAACATGAACAGAATATAGGTCTATGCAAAAACAAGTTGTCTCCAAGATGAAAAAGATCTGTAAATGGGATACCCTCCTCACTCAAGAGGACATTAAGACTTTGGTGGTACCTGAGACAAGACAAACATGAGTACTTGTATCCCCAACACAAAACGCTTCAGATTAATACCCTCTGTCCCCTTTACAGTATTTTGTGCCGGCACCCCCCCCAGCACCCCGCCATTACATCAGGAAGGAAACCTCCATTAGGTGACAAGAGCCTTTTAATAACCCACATCTCTTAATTTCCCTTTTTATCAAGGAGAGTGTTCCTGGGGCTCAGGGTAGTCTGCAAATCAATGCAAAGGGGAAGCATCGAGAGGCATCTGAAGTATTACCAGGGAGCAGCAGGCAGCAAATATTCAAACCCAGAATTTGTGACTCAACATTTCCTACAGTACAACAATTCTGCACAAATGACAGACACTGTCAAGAAGGATCCTGCCTGAAAAAGATGCAGAATGAAAAGAGAAGAATGACAGACAGGAAGGTTAAGGTATTTGATTACACTAGTATTGGTACTTACGTATCATACCTCTGCAGTGGTGTCACTTTGTTCTTATTCTTATCAACTGAACCCGTAGACAGTTGAAGGAAATTGGGGTTTAATTTATATAATTCCTGAAGGAGCTTCTGTTCATATTCTTGGTGTTTACCCGCCTAGTGGAAGAAGAAATCAAAACTGCAGTGGGACTCACAAAGTGGCTGGTATAAAATGCTGATGTACTTTTTGAATTATTAAAGCTATCGTAAATAAAATACATAAGAATTCGTCACAGTGTCAGAGAAACCTGTGAGGAAGATGTCATAGAACTTCTAGACCAATGAAAGTTCTTTCAACAAAACTACACGAGACATATTCCATTAATTAAGCATATCATCAACCACTTTATGTGGGGAAAAAACATATTAACGGACAACATTTTTGCTAGCTTAAAAAACTAGAGGAGCCCTTTTAAATTTACTTCCCCATCTTTCCACAAAAGAATTAAGCTTTCTAACAGGTCATTACAGAATTTTCTAAAGATCACTGGAAAATCAATCTCTCTTTTTAGAAGAGATTAACACTAAAAGTAACTCAGAGATGAAGAATTTTCATTATCCTAAGTAACACTTTCACATAAAAATGAATATATTTAAACGTTGGACCAGAAGATGGCAATTTAGCGCCAACTGCTTTGTTTTTGTAAATAAAGTTTTAAGGGAACAGTAATGCTCATTCATTTACATATAATCTATGACCTTGTTGGTGCTACAACAGCAAATCTGAGTAGCTGTTACAGAGACCATGTGACCAGAAAAACTAAAACATTGACTAACTGTCCCTTTACAGAAAAAGTGTGCCAATCCCTGCTCTATACATGACAAAGAGAGCTCTGTATTTCCTGGAGTTGGTAGCTCTCTATCAAAATGCAGTGTTACAAACATGATGGAAGGAATCAGACAACAACTGACTGTGCAACTAGTCACACACAAAAATAAATTACAATGAAATTACACTGAATAACTTTCTACTCTTTGCATGTATATTATGACTGCAAGGACATTTTTACTTACCTTCAGGGTTGTTAATTATTTTTAAAGTGTGGTCTAAAGAGATGTTATGGGAAAACCAAAACCAGAACAGATCAAAACAAAAACAAAGCAATAAAAACAAGAGCAGTATCATGTGATCCAGCACAACTGTATCATATATATTGCACAATGCATCATTCCCTGCTCTGAGAGGGCTCTTGCCTGTTCAACTATACAAATATTTCATACGGTACTGAATTTTGAGTTATGCAGTAACAAGGAAAGGCCCAGTTTTTGCCATGATATAATTTGTTTGTTTCCTTTCTACACTGAGGAAATGTTTTAATGAAGAAACCCCCTTTCAAAGTAATTTTAAATTCAAAGAAGAGAAAGATGAATACAAGTCAACAGTATGAAATAAATTTTAAATTGTTAAGGAAAAACACAGTTTAGATGTGGATTTTACATCTTTAAAATAAAAAAAGCCCTGAAAATTGTTTCTGCAAGCAATACTTCAGGAGATATTACGGCTTTCATTAGTCACAAAGAGCTCAAACTGGTATTCAAATGATTTAACAGGGGCAGTTTACAGAGACAGGTTAAATAGCATTACAAATAAATTTCAAGGGACTGCCCATCCATTTTCTTTTACTTTTTAATAATACTTAAGTGAGATCAACTGGGACTTAAAAACTCCTTGACAGATATTTTCATTGTAATAATACCCATAAGTAAAGCATAGTTCCCATTAGTCAAAATACAGCATGAAATGGCTCAACCTTAGATTTCATCCAAGAAAGTTTCATTCAAAAGAAAAAAACTGAAGAACCATTTACTGGATAAGCAAGAAATAAGTAAGTCATCTGTCCCCATTAAATATCACAGAGAACTTAGTTTTTGGGTTTGGGGGTTTTTTTTTTTTTTTTTAGGTTTTTTTTTTTTTTACATGGACCATTTTTAAAGTCCTTACTGAATTTGTTACAACATTTACTGTTTGGTTTTTTTCACTGTGAGGCATGTGAGATCTTAGCTCCCCAATCAGGGATCAAACCTACAGCGCCTGTGTTGGAAGGTGAAGTCTTAACCACTGGACCACCCGGAAAGTCTCTTAACACTGCTTCTGGATCATAAAGACCATGCATACTGTAAAGAAATTCCAATGTATTTATTATAATGTGATTTAATCAGTGATAACTCCAAGTCAAAAAGGGTAATATTTCATTCCATTTAACAATCTGCTCTGAAAGGAGCCCCTCCTAGACCGTCTCTAGTTTGACCTGGAGAATGAAAGGCAGCAGTCAATGCCCCCCACCTTCTAAATGAGAAGTATTCCTGCAAAGTCCACAGCAATAATCTGAAGTCTTCACCTATAATAGGGAAGTGCAGCATTGTGCTTTGGCATAATCCTCATTTAATATGCCATATGGTCAATATTTTTACTTGTAAAGGCAAATTTATACTACAAATTGAAAGAAGACAGAACAGGAAATGTAAAAAAGAATACAGGATAATAAGCCTTCAATTCACCCTTTACAGGACACTGACTCACTGTACACTTTCATGGGTAGAATCATTTCATAAAAACAATTTAGCTCTTCAGTGGCATTGAATAGAGTATTATTTTGTAGCATGCTCTATGAAGAGCAGAGATGGCAGAGGGGAACCTCATAATTACAATACTCCACTCTTAGCTTTCATTTTGCCTACATTTTCAAAACTTAGGGGGCCACAGATGCATTTTTTATTATAACAATGTCCTGCAGAACTGATATTCCATAGAACAACCACATATTTGGAAAAAGCTAATTTAAAATAATAAGAGTTTAATAAAAAATAAAATTCTTAGTTTTTGCTTTTGCAATTTTAAGTTATAAAGCAAAATACTTCCTTTGCTGCAAAGTTGATAATTCACATTACTTTACTACCTGCATTTCCTCTTTTGTGAAGCTGGCCGCCTCGTCCCCCAACTCATGCAGGTACATGCAGTCAGGCTTTGGACACTGCATATTCTTTAAGAAGTAACTGCAGTATTTTGTTGTACCTAGAGATGCCTGCAGGAAGAGAAGGGAAGAAGGAAAAAGACCCAAAACGTAAACTGACACCAGAATGAGAATTTCCATATCTAGTGTTTTCATTTCATCTAAAATGAGGCAAAGACACAACGAAACAAAGTATGGCTGTGTATACTAGAGAATTCAACTATCATTAGCATAATTTATTAAAGGTGATGAAATACCTCAATCTATGGTTTCCAGAGCTTGAGCACCTGAATCTTTTCCCTAGAGATCAGGAGAGTAGGAAGGCAAAATCTGTTCCATGTTTTAAGCAGTTAGGCACATAAGACAAATTCCTTTTTCTAATTATGCCATCCTTCTTTCAACTTACTTAAAGCATTGCTTGGTGGGACCCTTCACTCAAGCCTGAACTAATCAATGTCCAAATATTTAAGGACAACAAATTGGAACCATCACCTATTTCTTACAAGAAGAGTAATAAATCCATTTTCACAAGAGAAAATATGTGTAAATACAGGAGAATTTTTTTTTTAGGATTAATCCCCTAACAAGGTATGTGTTTACTTCCACCTGGCAGAACAGGACCCTAACAGGTAAGTGATAAGCAAATTAGCTGTCATAGGTTAGAATGGATACCTAGGAAGCAATCTTTAAATAGGACTCCTTCATTAATATGTAACAGCTATGTTCTTCTGCACTTGCTCCACGTTATCTCTCCCCCTAAAAAGCCCGAGGCCCACCTTACCTTAAGTGTTCTGCCGTCCACCACCACATTGTTAACACACTGAATGGCTCTGAGAGCATCCTCTGACCGTATATATGTCACGTAAGCGCTGGCACTCGGGCCCTGAAGGGAGAAGCCACTGCCCTTAGAACCGGATTCAACAGAACTTAAAAAAAATTAACCTGCAACCTGCAAAGGAATTCTAAAGGCCTTTACTAACACTATCTTTAATAATAATGACAATGATTAGAAGCAGTAGTAGCTTTGATTAAACTATATACTACCCCCATCTTAAGATAATCATACTTCATCAATTTTATCTGATTTTAAGTAGACTAAAATATTTATGAATGAAATATCTTTGGCTTGGCAATTTTCTTATAAAAGTCATCTGACAGGCTTGTCAACATTACAAAAAAACCCAAACTTTGAAAATTAGATTTGAAAAAATAAGATGTGAAGATACTGTGTCAAACTACGTTCTCAGAATAAATGCAATCTTTAACAGTATTCTAATAGAAAATAACAAAAAAAAGAAAGAGTATTCTAGCTGCTAATATCAGCATAACAAAAATGCTCTATTAAGTTCGCAGTATCGAAAATATTAAATAGAAATTATATAATTTAACTGCTTGGTTATAGACTCAATTCTCCCTCCCCTTCAAACCATCACTAAATCTCTGTTACTACTTTCCTCTTAATACTATTAATTCACTGTTAAGTTTTGAAAGGATCAAACAAGCACCAAAAAATTCCCCCACCCTACCAACAGAGGTCACTATATGGTGTAAATGCTTGACCCCCAAGCTTTCTAATCACAGAAACCAAGTTTTCCTTCTGAACAGCCCAGGTCAAGCCCTGACCATAGGGAGGAAACGTAAAAATCCCTATAATTAGTTACCTGTGAGCCTGCATATGATGTGCTATTATTGATGACAACTTTATGTATTTTACCAAACTTCCCAAAATATTCTGGTCGTTTTAAAACCTATAAAAGAAGAAGAAATAAGGTATAAACTGTCCCCACTTCATCAACTTTATCCTTATAATGGGGACATGCACCATGCCTCTTGAGTGAAAAGAAAATAATTGTTAAAGTTTCCCAATAAATGTGACTACTTTACTGATTACAATTTGTGTGGTTAACTTAACTACAGGAAATCATCAACAAAAATCTAAAAGCTATTCTTTACTGACCCACTGAATAGAAACTGAGACTGAGTAGGTCTCACATTATCTACTACGTTCTAACATGTGCACCAATAATCTATGGGATTTTAATTTGACAGTATTCTTAAACACAAAACAGATCAACTATCTTAATCACACTGTCATTAATAGATGATTCTTACAAGGTCTCAGAACAATGACCAAGATTATGTATTAAACAGAAACTCAAAAACAGACACAAGTAGAGACAGTTTTACTCATAAATCTATTGTACATAAAATATTATGTATTAAAGCACTGTTTATAAGTTACAAATTCCAAATATGGTAACAGAATATTTTTCAAACTTTCATGCTTTATGATTTATTACTCAGTGTATGTCAATAAATTTTCCTTATGTCAATTTCACCATTTTTCAACTGTCTTCTATGTTTTTCTCTCTTTTCCTGATAAATAACAAATGAATTTTTCTCTATTACCTGGTTACTTCTTGGTGGTCATTTTCCCTCATACTTGTCTCATCTCCTTTACTATGTGATCACTATATGCATTCATTTAGCTTCTCCTGCAAACTAACTTAACTTTGGCTAACTTAATCCTCTCTCCCAGGATTTGCAACTACCTCAAAATTAAACTGTTCTTTTCCAAAATTTACCACAGACCTACATAGTATTTGTTTATAGGTTTAAAATTCAACATTCAAAAAATGAGTATCATAACAACCGGTCCCACCACTTCATGGCAAATAGGAGGAAAAGTGGAAACAGTGTCAGATTTTAATTTCTTGGGCTCCAAAATCACTGCACATGGTGACTGTGGCCATGAAATTAAAAGATACTTGCTCATTGGAAAAAAAGCTATGACAAACCCAGACAGCTAATTAAAAAGCAGAGACATCATTTTGCCAACAGAGGTTCATATAGTCAAAACTGTGTTTTTTCCAGTAGTCATGTATGGATATGAGAGTTGGACCATAAACAAGGCTGAGTGCCAAAGAATTAATGCTTTCGAAGTTGTGGTGCTAGACAGGACTCTTGAGTGCCTTGGACTGCAAGAAGATCAGTCAATCTAAAGGAAACCAACTCTGAATATTCATTAGACAGACTGATGCTGAAGCTAAAGCTCCAATACTCTGGTCACCTGATGTGAAGAGCCAGCTCATTTGAAAAGATCCTGATGCTGGGAGAGACTGAAGGAAGGTGGAGAAGGGGGCAACAGAAGATGAGATGGTTGGATGGCATCACTGACACAGTGGACATGAGTCTGAGGAAACCCCAAGAGATAGTGATGGACAGGGAAGCCTGGTGTGCTGCAGTCAATGGGGTTACCTACAGACCCACTGTTCCTACAATCTCTCCAAATAGCAAGCTATCTCTCAATTGAAGCTTTCTGCATATATCTGTTCAAGTGTATGCAAAGTACCTTCTCCAAATACTCTTATTTGATAATATTCTCACATACTTAACATCTTAGCTATTATGCTCTACATCTCACAGAACCAAAGTTTTGTGAAACAGTCTGTGGTTGGGGTGTCATGAATTCTTAACAGTTTTCAACTTGATTAATATAATTTTTTTTACCTTACTTTATTTTAGGTTTTTGTAAGTGTGGGTTACTACGTTTTCTGCAGCCAATTTTAACGGATAAGAAGGTGCGATGACTACACTGGCTTTCCATCTTTTTCCCACCCAAATCTTCTGAAGGATATTTACAGTGTCAAAGGCAATGACTCTCGGTTGTTCACAGAAAGTCTTAGGATAGAGGCTATGGGAAGAGTATGTATCTTGAAAAGCCTTATGGCCAGTGGAGAACAGAACTGCGTTCCAATATTCCAGCTGGATGTGTACCAATTCAGCAAAAGGCCTCAGCCAAAAGACCTGCTTCAAGGGACTCAGCCTGGTCAAAAGTTGTGCTGCATCAGCACCTCATATCACATCCAAGTTGATGGTAGTACTTCTCAATGAAGGCAGCATCAAGGGATGTTGGAACATTATGTCAAAGTAACTGGGAGACACTATTGGCGCTCAGTGGATGGGAGCCAGGGACAGCTTACAGCACTCAGGCTAGCCCTACACCACAAAGAACCATCCTACACAACTTCTGAATGTTCTACAAGACATTCATCTAGCCAAGATGCTTGTTTATAATTAAGTGAATCTAGAAACAAATCATAAATATAAAACACTTTCCCACAGTTTCAATGTATGTTGAATTTAAAAGCAAACACTATGTAATTAAGGGACAACTACAAATGCTTTGTTTGAAATTTTACTAAGAATTCGTCAGAAAAATCACACACATCATTAACTCTTCATGGTACCCATGCTGTCAGTACATACATCTGTAACAATCTGCACTTTTAGTTGTCACATTCACAGTGATTCTACAAACAGATGCAAGCTCCTATTTCATAACGTACTGGGAAAAAAAGTACTTTACAAACTTATATACACACACAAATCATTTGCGGATCCAGTTGAAATACTTATTTCAGCCCCTGAGAGTTTGCACCATAAGCTCCCAGGTGATACTAATGCTACCAGCCCAGAGGTCACACCCTGAGTAGCGGTACCAAGTATTTACACATAGAAATAGTCTTCTTATACTTTAATTTCTCCCTCATTTTTTTCAAATTATGTATCTACCTAGACAGATTATATGATCAAGAAGTCATTTTATGAAACTCAAAGGGTGCTACAAAATACTATTTAAAAAAAAAAAAAAACGTGGGTACTGGGTCTGTAAAGGTTAAACACTGACTTATGGAAATAAATTATGGCCAATAATTGAGCAATACTTTCATAGAAAACATAAGACTTGTATATAATTACAGTGAGCAGCCAGAATAGTGTTTCCAAAGCACCAATCTCACCATGTCATTCTGTTCTTAAGATTAGTCAATAGCTTCTCATTGTCTTCAAGATACAGTGCAAACTCATTGAAAGTGAAAGTGAAGTCGCTCAGTCATGTCCGACTCTTTGCGACCCCATGGACTGTAGCCTACCAGGATCCTCAGTCCATGGTACTTTCCAGGCAAGAATACTGGAGTGGGTTGCGATTTCCTTCTCCAGGGGATCTTCCCGACCCAGGGATTGAAACCGGCCCAGGTTGGATGCATGAGACAAGTGCTCGGGCCTGGTGCACTGGGAAGACTCAGAGGGATCGGGTGGAGAGGGAAGTGGGAGGGGGGATCGGGATGGGGAATACATGTAAATCCATGGCTGATTCATGTCAATGTATGACAAAAACCACTACAATATTGTAAAGTAATTAGCCTCCAACTAATAAAAATAAATGAAAAAAAAAAAAGAATACATGATAATGAAACCGGGTCTCCTGCATTGTAGGCAGATGCTTTACCGTCTGAGCCACCAGGGAAGCCTTTTAAAGCCCTTCCTTATCCCTACCACTTACCTCATTAGCCTCATCTCTCACCATTTCACTCTTAATTTTCCAGCCAAACAAATCATTTGAAGACCAAGCTTTTTTTTTTAATCCAGAAGCACTTGTATAATCCCTATGCCTGAAGCACTTTATGCCAAAGATAGCCAGGAAGTTCATACTTCCTGATGGCACTCCAACAGTGAGGTGCCATCTCTTGTGCCTCCACAACACACAGCACTCGTCACAGTATACAGCTGCTTTTATAAATAAACAGGGGCAACCTTTTACTGGTTTATGTTCAATGTCTCACACAGTGCCTGGCACACTGCAGGTACTCAATAAATGTTTATGGAATAATTAAACTCTGTTAGCATTGAACAAAAGGAATAACACATGTGTAAAACACTAGTGGGCCTTAATGTATTAGGAAATGATCTATGGGTGACAAAAACAGCCTGCCCAGGCAAGGGAAACTCAAGTAATTTCGATGTTCTATATTAAGTTGCACATTCAAGGTTCTATCTAAACATAAGTTGAATAAGCAAAACAGTAAATAAAGAAAGTAAAGAGCATGGGTAGTAGGCAGAACAGCCTGCATATAACCACATAACCTATATATTCAAAGTCCTATATTTACTTCACAGTGAGTCAACTTGAGTACTAGCTACTATATAAAAAGTTATATGATAGAATTATAAATGCCCAATGACATACCTAATGTGTAAAATGTCTTCCTATATGTTGGGAACACAAATGTTCATGCACATGTCAAAGAAAATAAAAAATGTAGTGACAGATGAAGGATGAATAGACAAATATGTGGATGAAGGAACCATACAGATCACTGGTATAAAATACATCGGAATAGGAGTTCTAAGACCAGGGAGACGGGGGCGGGGGAGGGAGGTGGATGAGGGTGGTTTCTAGTCCTGGGTCTGCTATGAAATAGCTAAGTGATCCTAGACAAATCATTCAACTTCTCTATGCCTCAGTTTCCCATTTGTAAAAGAAAACGGTTACGTTTTTAAAGTCTTTCAGTTCCTCAAACAAGCAGCTCTTTCATGCTACCATGCACCTGGGACATGTCTGCCCTTATTTGCTACCCAGCTAATCCCTAGTCATTTTTAATATCCTTTCCTCAGGGAGGCTTTTCGTGGATCTCTGCACTAGCTAAATTACCTACTGTTCATATGTTCTCAAAAAGCCCTGTATCTTCCTATTTATAAATACTCAGCACACTTACAAGTACTTAAGTCTGTCTTCTCCACTGTCTGTAAGCTTCTAAGGGTAGAGACTGTGTCTGGCTTGCTAAACCATTTCAGTTCCAACATCAAAGTATCTAACAGACCATAAGTATTCAAGAGCTAATTTACAGAACGAATGATTAAGGTTCTGACAAATTTAAATTTTTAGGATTTAGGAGATGATTACTCTAAGCACTATCTCTAACTACCATATCTTCTAAGATACACTTTTTTCCTATTAAGCGATAAATGGATACATTTGACCATCAATCTTGGTATGAAGTTGTCAGATGTACAAAAATTATTTTCAAAATAAGCTTTAAATTTTCCTAAATGCTCCTATTCTACTAATCAGAATTCAGCCAAATATCAAATTGTTCATCATCCAAAAATAAGTAAATGATAGGGATCTTCTTTGACTCAAAGTTCCCCTAACAATTTGAAACTTGGCGATTTCTAATGAAGTGTTCCAATCTGAAAGAGTTAGGCAGTTACATTAAAAAAAATTTTTAAGGTATTATTTAGAAGTAGTAGGGTTTAATAACTAAAACACTAACCTTTGGTTTTCTTAGGGTTTCAAGAGAAACAAATGAAAGAAACTAATGTTTAAAAAAATTCACTGTCCTCTTACCAAGCAACAGTACTTTCAAAAGTCTAAAACCAAGACAGTAATTTTTTAGGTATATTTACATTCATGATAAAGTATTCTCTTTCACGAGTCATTCCCTAGATTAATTTCTGTGTAATAGTTCTTCAGATTAATCTTACTGACATTGTGCTATTTGAAATGAATATAAATCTCTGTACATATGTAAAAACAAACTACAGATCTAAGTCACTTCTCTAAGAAGCAGCAGAAACCTGTAAACCAAACATCAGACTAAGACTATGGCTTCATTTTATCCAGAGTTTGGGTGCTGCTCGGTAAGCCTCCAGTACCACAAAGGACTAGATTTTGTATTAGTAAAACCAAGTACATCCACATCCAAGAGTTGTTAAATAAAAATTAAAGTTCCATTAATTTGCTGGACTAGCAGGGAGCCCCTTGGTGGCCTAGGGGTTAGGACTGCACACTTTCACTGCCATGGCCTAGGTTCAATCCCTGGTCAAGGGAGCTGAGATCCCACAAGGTGCATGAGTGCCCCCCTCCCCGACAAAATTTTTTTTTTACTGGAGTAGCAGCTTCAGAAAAGCAAACATAGATTCTAATCAATAAGATTAGCAGGAATAAACAGAGGTAGGTAAATTAAAAACCTGCTTAGGCAAGAAATGTTCTCTGGTTGGAAAAAAGTAATGTTTAAAGAGGGAGACAGAAGCATTGATGCAAAGTTGTGGCAGTGTTCAAGAGTGAAATGGGATCCTGACTGTCTGGGGAGTTAAATGCTAGATGATTTAGGAAAAAGGGAGAACTAGCTGCTGAGGTTAAATCGCAGGCCTAAAATGAGCTCCTTTCTCATCATTTATTAGAGATATGAACTCTAGATCCACCCCTTTGGCTTTGGAAAAAACCTCGTCTCTTGAAGATCGTGTAGCCCACTAACGCCAGCATCTCGGACCTAGATCCTAGTAATTCGTGAGCTGCCTCCACATTTATTACCAATGACAGAGACTTCTTAGTAAGGTCACCCTGATGTTCTCCTCTACAGATCTTGAAGCCCTTCACAGCCTCAATACATAGTTAACTAATCAGCAATAAATATTTCTTATTCTTTCTAAACTGATTTTTACAAAATCAATTTTTAGACTCCTTATATTTCCTCCTTCTGGGGCCTTTAGCCCTCTTAGATCAGTCAAAGATTCCTGCCTCCCTAATCCTTCCTCTGATTGCTGCCATCCTGAGCATTACTTTAAACCCTTCTCAAGGAGTACTTCCGACAGATCCCTCAAATCCAGCTCTCTTCAACTGAAGCAGACATTCTGGCTGCCATTCAGTTTCTATTTGCCTTCCCAACAATCTAGTCAGCATCTCCTGGTATATTAGGAACTAAACATTAGCAGACATGTATCCAAGGGCATTAAGGAAAAGTAATGAGTTCAACATTACTCTAATAAGCCTGGTGGAGGAAGGAGAGAAGAGTTAAGTAATAAACAAAAGGGTTAAGGCCTCCCCTGCTTTCAACATATGACAAAGAACCTCAACCACTGTTTCCCTCTGAATTCTTTCTTCTTCCCCAAAACTGGCTTAAAATGAATGAATAAAGAATGATGACACAGTAGAGCAACAATTCTATCACTGTTTTATAATCAAGGTTCACCGCTTCGGCGTGATTAAAAAAAAAATACAGATCTCTGGTGGGTTCATGAAAGTACATCTCCACTGTTGGTCCTTAATACAGCTACAGAAAAGAGGAAAGAAACAGAGCAGTCATGTCAGATGAGCCTTAAGAGCACAACAGAGCCACTGTCCAACTTCCGTAGACTAGGAGCACTGAAGGGGACTTCAGAGACCTAATTCAACTGCCCAGTTTCACAACTGAAGGAAATGAGCCAAGAATGATGAAGACACTGGCCTGAGATCACAACTGGTCACTGGTTTCTTAGTGATTATTAAAAATCATTTCCCATTATCTTCTAAGTTTGAGAATTTTGAGGTAAATCCTGCCTTTGGGCAGGGCCAGCTACTATTTCCAAATAAAGAAAAAGAAAAAAGTGCCAAATTGAGAAAGGAAAGTGAAGACAACTTACCTCTGGGTCTGCTAGGCGCTGAGACAGACCTACAACAAAGACGAGGTTTTTTTGTACAACACGTACACTAGCCAAATGTTTGCGATTTTCTGATATTTTCTGTTTTCTCTCATTTTGTTTCTGTTTTTTCTCATTCTTTATCCTTTGCAGTTCTTCCTGGGAGAGTGGTTTATAAACTGCTGGGTCTTCTGGATATGGCTTTAGGCATAAAACAAACACAGAAGTTAGCATTAAATGGACAGAAAACCATGAATAAATAATTTTCAAATACTTGATGATATGTATCCAGTTATTTGCTACATCTCCCTTTTTCTGAATGTTCTAACTGTGTAACTTTTTATTTAATAAAAGTTAAATGTTACATAAGAGTGTTTTTAAATACTATGTAAACCACTTTTAGTGCTAAAACTTAAAATATCACCAAAGGTTCTAAAATTTTAAAAAACCATCGTGGTATTACCGACAATGCCTAGAACACAGTTTACAGGAAAATTAAGCTTTTAAGGTACTATGTAAAGGGCAAAAAGTACAAAATATCATCTAAATATGGGTTTACTGTATTACAATCAACAAATATTTAATGAAAACATACTATGTGCTTGAAGATTAATGAAGTACTTATTCTTTAATAGATAGACATTTCCTGTCAAAGGAGATGGGCAAATAAACAATACACAGATACTCTGGCTCAGGAGTTTGAACTTAGCTTCAACACTTATTATCCACATGGCTTTAGACAAGTCAATAGAACGCTATGTCTCCGTATCCATGTTAAGTAAAATGAAAATAATCTTAAAGGCGGATATAAAAATAACACTCGTTAAAGCAATTATTTTAACTGGCCCACAGTAATCTCTCAATAAATACTAGCAATTACACCACTGTAATGTTTTTCTCTCTCATCATTACAATTTTGTTTTCATTCCTACTGCTAATGCCAAGACTACTGATGGCCTGAATGAGAGCTGCAAACTGGCTTTGAATCTTGGATTATTCTTTACTGAGAGACCTTGGCTAAGTTATGTAATTTGTCTGCCTCAGTCTTTCGTAAAATGGGAATCACAGTACTTTATTCATTCAGAGGGTTTCTGTGAGAATTTTAAAAAGGCAACACACTTATAAAGTGATTAAAACTATGTCCTGCACAGAAGCATTCAATAAATCAGTTATTATTTCAGCTGGCCCTCCATATCTGCAGGTTCCACATCCTCCAATTGAACCAAATGAAACTATTTGGGGGAAAAAAAATTCTAGAAAAAAAGTTCCAAAAACCAAAATCTGAATTGGTCATGCACCTAGCATTTACAGAGCATTTACATTGTATTTACAACTATTTATACAGCATTTACATTAGATATTAGAGACTATACATAATCTAGAGATGATTTAAATTACATGGGAGGATGTGTGTAAGTTACACACAAACACTCTGCTATTTTATATGAGGGACCTGAGTATCCACAGATTTTGGTATCTATGCAAGTGGCATGGAGGGGGCTGTTCCTAGAAAAAAATCCCCCACAGACACAAGAGACAACTGTATTAACAAAAAAGGTTAATAGTAAGTGGAAGATGGAACACACTAAATAAATAGTAACACGTAAAGCTGAATGTGAAGAGATCCCAGAAATGGGAAATTGTGCCTATCAGAATACCAGAACCTGGGATTAACAGAAACGCTGCTGTCAAGAATAAACCGGAAATGAGGAAGAGAGAAGGGAGTATCACAAGCCTGACACTGTGCATGCCTTTAATGTAAAGTTACTTTCATCTTTTCCATACATAAGTTTAAAAAAATTACTTAAAAAAATAAACAAAACACCCTCGAATATGTGAGCACACTCTGAGTAATGCTGAAGGCAATTAAGAAAGTGAGATTTCTTTTCCTGCTCCATTATTTTTACTAGTAATAACATAAAGTCTCCAAAACTGTTCTTAAATATTCAGCCATAACTCTTAGTGGTCCTGCAGAATAAAGTGCCCATTCCATTCAATTCCCACATTTAAAAATTTGAATCTTTTAGCTAATTGGTCCTTTTTGGCATACTCCAACATACTAGTGAGTGAGAAGCATATAAAACAGCTGACTCAGTAATTCACCTGACTTTTGCATGACCTAAGGGTTTTATTCCAGGGTCAAATATAAAGTTTGTGTCATACATTTTAGGAGCTTACTAAATATTTGCCACATTAATACCAAGCTATTTTCTAGAATTAGAAATTCAGCACTACTAATTTTCCTTTTAAAAAAAATCTTATTTCAAAAAGTTCTTACATTTTAATTTGAGGAACCAAATGGTTAGAGATCTATTACAATAAATTCAATTCTTCAATCGATGTAACCGTGCCCATTTAAATTTCTTCCCTTTTCTACACTCACACTTCTGTACCTATATTATCTTCTTTCAAATCAATCTATCTGCCTGGATGATTTTAATCCCATGAAACTATTTAAAACTATAGAGGCAAAAGTATAAAAATGAACTACATACAAACCAATTTAAATACCTTTCCACAATATCACTTAAATTTTCATTTGCTATTTTCTACCACAGGATTTCTGGGTAGCTCCTTTTAAAGCATTTATTAAGTTTATTTGAAAGCTGTTGCCCTTCACTAACATGTGGAGTGGTGATAATCCACTCCCTGAGTCAATCAAGCCTTTAGATTGTTCCCAGATCCATTTCAAAGCCTGGTCCATGCACTGCATCATTCCACCAGTCCATGGTAAGTGTAAAAAATTAAGAAAAAGCACTTGGAAACTTTTACAGCAACTTAACATTTCCACAACATTCAAGTATGTCATCAGTGGGCTCTAAAGAATAAGATATTTATCAGTGTGGTTGTTATCAAGCTTAGGTGGTAAATCACATGACACAAGCTGGATACTAGGCATGCTCAACAGAACCCTGTATCAGTTTCCAGCAGACTGTGCTGGGCGGGGGGGCGCACACAAATCTGGTTCTACATCAGAGGTAGTCTGAGAAACACTAGTGTAACTTTTCTGAGAACACGAAGATTTGACAAGCATTCAGGTTTTTTTTTTTTTTTTGCTAACCATCTCTGACACTGTAAAATCCTAATAAAAGATGACGCAAAATAATATAAACACCTCCAATAAATGGAGAATGAAAATGACCAAAAATCAGGTTGTGGTACCAATTCTCATGAAGTGTATTACTGATGTTATCACTATATTGAGTTTGTAACACCGGTTATCCCAGTCTTTTTCTATATTACTCCAAGTTTTTCCTATGGAAATTAATACTTCTATCAGTCTTCAAAGGCAACTTTATTGGACTATAACTGCTATATAATGATAGATTACACATACCAATACAGAAAGATACCACTACAGGAGAACAAGATAAATTAGTTTATTATGACTTATCCTCCAAAATCCTCTTACTCCAACTTAAAAGAGGTTACAAATACTAACTCTTTCATCTTAACATATTTCTGAATCTGCATCTCTGTTGTTAGGAAGAATTAAATAAATTGTTTCAGATAATAGAAATCTGGTAATTTAAACCTAAACACAAATGAAAAATATACAAAGTTTTATTAGTCTCAACCTGTCTAAAGGTTTCATAAAAAGTTGGTAAAGTACACATTCTATGATGGTTCCTCCTCCACACACACCACCGTTAAATACCTACTCTACAAATCCAATAGAAAGTTAACCATCTGATACAATAAGATGAGGAAAGAAGCTAGATTAAAGATGGGAGATGAAAACACATAATTTGAACAGCTGCAGAAAAACACTGTGACTCACAAAACTAGTAACCTTAGTACTAAAAATGAATATAAAGAAAAATACATCTGGTCTATTTTTTGACTGAAACACATACGTTAAACCTAATATTCTAGGAATATAGGATCAAATAAAAAGCTATAAGCAAAAAATTTTTCTTTAAAATTTTCTACTGCATGTTACAAACCAGTGATAAACAGGATACTTGTGGAGAAGCATTTTAAATGTGCAAAATGTTTTTAGTAGTATTGCCAAACTACTAATTAAGACGGTTTATAGTCTTTCATATAATCACTTAATTCCTTTCATATGTGTAGTTACGGTTCCACTTTTATTCTCAATTTACATGTATATTTAGATGTGTCTTTCGTTTTATTTTCTTATCAGACTTACCAAGACTTTGATTATTTTATTGGCTGTTTCAAAGAACCAGTTCCAACTTTTATGGAAATACAGCTTTCCTATTTCATTAAATTCTACTTAATCCCTACTTTCTACTGTCATGTTTCTTCTTTTCCTATTTTCTTTACCCAGAAATAAGTTCATTTGTTTTTGCTCTTAATTTTCTAATAAATGCATTTACAGCTTCATCTTTCCCTCTTGCTAAAGACAATGAAAAATACTGTGTAAAACTTTTCAAACCAACATCTTAAAAACAATAATGATCTGCAGTGGTGAAGTCCCAAGCAAATTTCTGGATAAAAGTCAAAACCCAAAGAGATAAGTGGAAAGGCTGAGTAACAACCAATGGGAGAGAGGAACAAATGAAGGAAGAAGCACAGCATTCAAAGTCCAAAACCAGTCCAAGGTGAAGAGTTCTGGGGAGATCACTCCCATGATAAGCTGAGACTAGCTCACCCCCAAAAGGCTCATATTCTCTTAGGGTTAAGTACAGCTACAGAAAGGTCAGAACAAGATAAGAAGAAAGAAAAGGGTGAAGAAAAAAACCATCCTAGAGAAGCTGAAACCAGCCCCAGGGAAGATGTGCACCTGAGAGAACAAAAAATTAAGGCATCCCTAATGGCAAAGAGTCGGACACTACTGAGTTACTGAACTGAACTGAACTGAATGGCAATGTTCACAGGTTCCAGCAGAAAGCAAACCAAAGCCTATCTACAGGATGGCAAATTTATCGTGGGCCTCAGAGAACTACACAAATAACTCAGTGACAACCACGAAGCCGATACAGACAACAAATCACAAGAAATAAAACAACAAGAACGCCAACCAGCAGAAACATCCCCCACAGACTTTAGCAACTGGAAGTACTGGACAGATTTTAAAACAAGAATGATTATCTGTTTAAACAAATATATGACAAACTTGAAAATATCTGCAGGGTATAAAAATCTTTTTTAAAAAATCAAGTAGCAAAAGAGAACACACATTACTTTTAGAAATGGAAAACAAAACTTTAAAATTCAGTAGACTAGACCTTATA